CACCTGGACTATAGAAAGTACACCTGGACTATAGAAAGTGCACCTGGACTATAGAAAGTGCACCTGGACTATAGAAAGTGCACCTGGACTATAGAAAGTACACCTGGACTATAGAAAGTGCACCTGGACTATAGAAAGTACACCTGGACTATAGAAAGTGCACCTGGACTACAGGAAGTATAACTGGACTATAGAAACCACACCTGGACCTGTCATTCTGTGTCTGTTTCTACTTCCTGTCCTCTCAGACCCAGCCAGTCGAAGCTCGTCCTGAGCTGGTTCTGCTGAAGGTTTCTTCTGTGAAAAAGGGATTTTTTTCTTTCCACTGTCTCCTCTGTTCTTGCTCTGGATGAAGACTGTGATGAAGAGGAGATTCAACTCAACCTGCTGCTCCCTCAGACAGAACTCTTTTTAATTATCTTTTTGTTTCTGTTCCGAGACGACTTTTGTTGGAGCTACAGAAATAAACTGAACTGATTTTTCATGATGTCACACACGTTTTGTGTGTGTGCGTACGTGTGTGTGTGTGTATGTGTGCGTGCGTGCGTGTTTATGTGTGCACGTTGGTGACCTGCAGCCTGACTTGGTGGACTCTGGCGTCTTCTTGTAGCCGATGGGACACGTGATCAGCAGGGAGATGCTGCAGGAGTGGCAGGCCGTCTGCGTCATTGATGTCCTCTTGGTGAAACAGAAGTTCTGACCCAAACAAACAGATTTTAATTCAAGAGTTGTTCAGTTCAAACATCTCCATCTTTTACCTGAATATCTGGAAGGTACTGAGATCATCTGGGTCAAACTTTGTTCTCAAACAGCTGAAGATCCTTCATCAACTGATAAACTCATTTATTTTTAAACTGTCACCGTCTTCCTCCAGAACTTCTTGAATCTTCAGTCAGTTCTGAAATGTTTCCCGTCTTGACTCTTAAACCTGAACCAGTTTGACTCCAGACTAACTGAGGATCTTCTCTGGGAAAAAAGCTAAAGAAGTAACAAGAGAGGAGGAGAACTTCTCAGACTACTGCTGGTCTGCTGAACGTGGTCCACCCACAAACCTAGATCCAGATTCAGTCCAACAGGAGTGGAAATAAAAACTGTCATCTAAAGTCCAAGTCAAAAGTAATCAAACATTTAACATTTCAGAACCCTTGATCCGATTTTACACTCAGAACAATCAAGATCTGATGGACATTGGACAGGAATAGTTGAGATCCAGAAACCTGAGCTAATGTCTCAGACTGGACTCTGTTTGGACAACAGAACCTCAGGCTTTTGTTCAGTTTTTAAATTTACCTGAACCACGACACTGAGCAGGAGAGAAGCTCTAAATATGTACCAACTGAAAGAAGAGAAAACCTCCTGAAAAAACATTTGAACTCAGTCTAAACAACAAGAAACTCAGTGCTGAGCATGGAGGTGGTAGCATCATGATCTGGGTTGTTTGGTGACAGCATTAAGTCACAAAAGTCTTAAAAGGGACAAAAGCACCATCAGGAACATCTGATTCAAAGAGGAAACAATACAATAAATGAATGGATTATGGATGAGAAACCAGCCACTATGGAGCACAACCCAGTGTATCTCTGGTTCTGGTCCCAAGCCCAGGTAAATGATGATAGTTGTGTCAGGAAGGACATCCAACGTAAAACACTTTTACCAAAACTAACATGCGAGTTCATCAAAGAGAAACCATTCTGGATCAGTCAAAGCCCGGGTTAACAACAACCACCATCGGTGCTGTTGATAAACAGGGTGCCGGCAGAAGTACGGAGGTAGCTAAGGCAAAGTAGAAAGTGTATGAGGAGTTATATGAGAGGCTGGACACTAAAGAGGGCGAGAAGGACTTGTACCAATTGGTAAGCTAGAGGGATCAGACTGGAAAGGATGTGCAGCAGGTTAGGGTTGTTAAAGATAGGAATGGTAATGTTCTAACAAGTGAGGAGAGTGTGACGGGAAGATGGAAGGAGTACTTTGAGGAGCTAATGAATGAAGAGAATGAAAGAGAAAGAAGAGTAGAGATCATAGAAACTGTGGAGCAGGAAGTGGGAAAGATCAGTGAGGGTGAAGTCCAGAAAGCTCTGAAAAGAATGAAGAAGGGGGTCTGATGACATACAAGTGGAGGTTTGGAAATGTCTTGGAGGGAAATGTCTTGGAGAGATGGCAGTGAGGTTTTTGACTCAAATATTCAATGGCATATTTGAGGGTGAGAAAATGCCTCAGGAATGGAGAAGAAGTGTGCTGACAAGGGTGATGTACAGAGTTGTAGCAACTACAGGGGAATTAAGTTGATGAGTCACACGATGAAGATCTGGGAGAGAGTTGTGGAAGCAAGACTTAGACGAGAGGTGACTATCTGTGAGCAGCAGGATGGTTTCATGTTGAGAAAGAGCACCACAGATGCCATCTTTGTTTTGAGGATGTTGATGGAGAAGAACAAAGAGGGTCAGAAAGAACTCCATTGTGTCTTTGTGGATTTAGAAAAAGCATCTGACAGGAAGACAGCAGGACATGTATAAGGACAGCATGTTAGACTGGTTCAGGATATGTATGAGAACAGCAGGACATGTTTGAGGACAGCAGGACATGTTAGGCTGGTATAGGACAAATATGAGGACAGCAGGGCATGTATCAGGACAGCAGGACAGTGGTGAGATGTGCTGTAGGAGTGGCAGATAGCTTCACGGTGGAGTGCATCAAGGATCGGCTCTAAGCCCCTTCTTGTTTGCTCTGGTGATGGACCGACTAACAGATGAGGTCAGGCAGGAAACCCCGTGGACTATGATGTTTGCAGATGATGTGATCTGTGGTGAGAACAGGGAACAGGTGGAAGAGAACTTGGAGAGGTGGAGGTATGCACTTGAAAGAAGAGGAATGAAAGTCAGTCGTAGTAAGACAGAGTCCATGTGTGTGAATGAGAGGGAGGAGGTGGAACAGTGAGGCTACAAGGAGCAGAGGTCACAAAGGTGCAGGACTTCAAGGACTTGGGGTCCACTGTCCAGGAACATGGGGAGTGTGGTGAAGAGGAGAAGAAGAGAGTCCAGGCAGGACGGAGTGATGGAGAAAAGTTTCAGGAGTGATTTGAGACAAAAGGGTGTCAGCAAAGATCAAAGGAAAAGTTTACAAGACAGTGGTGAGACCAGCTATGTTGTATGGTCTGGAGACAGAGACATGGACAAAAAGACAGGAGGCAGAACTGGAAGTGTCAGAAATGAAGATGTTGAGGTTCTTCTTAGGAGAGACAAGGATGGAGAAGATCAGGAATGAGATCATCAGAGGTACAGCACAGGTTGAACAACTGGGAGATAAAGTTAGAGAGGACACACTGAGATGGTTTGGACATGTCCAGAGGAGGGACAGTGGTTTGGACATGTCCAGAGTAAGGACAGTGGGTATATTGGCAGAAGGATGTTAGAAATGCAGCTGCCAGGAAAAAGACAAAGAGGAGATGGATGCAGTAACTGAACTCCATTCAAATATGTACTTGTAGCTGAAATGAAATCTCTGACTCTGATAAATAAAAGTTGAATAAATGAAAAAAAGGATTATGGATGATGGATGGATGGATGGTGATGGATGAAGGATGGATGATAGATGGATGGCCTGATGATTGATGGTCTGATGATGGATGGATGATGAATGGGTGATGGATGGATGGATGTATGGGTAGATAGATGATGAATGGATGATGGATGGATGATGGATGGATGGTAGATGGATGGATAATGGATGGATGATGGATGATGAATGGATGATGGATGGATGATGGATGGATGGCTGGGTAGATGGATAGATGGATGATGGATGGATGATGAATAAATGATGGATGATGAATGGATGATGGATGGATGATCTTACCTTTTGAGGAGCAGCTGAAGCCTTTATCATCATCATCATCATAGAAGTGAGCAGCAGCTGAAAAGTCAGATGTACCTCCATGTCTTCTGTCGTCCGTCTCGTCCCGTGCGTCTCTTTTTATTGTCCCCGTCCCTCCTCCCCCTCCCTCCCCCCCCCCCCGCTTTCCCCCCCCCCCTCCCACCTGCTTCCTGGACCAGAGAAATGTGCTGACTCCAACACGTGCAGGAAACTCTTCTTTGACTGTGACAGATGGAGGTTTTGGTGTATCACACATGTTTTAGTGTCATTTGACCAATAATCGGGTGTTTGTGTCCTTCCTGATGTGAGCACTGAGAGCTCAGATCAGAACAGTGGTCTTAAACAGGGTCCTCAGTTTGGACCCCCATAGGTTTAGTCCTAGCTGACCCAGTTCAAGAGCAGGAAATCCTGGACTGGAAATCCAAATTTGTCTTTTTTCTCAAAACTTTCTGCTCCATCATCAAACTCTGCAGATAAGACTCAGAGTTCTCTGCTGACGCATCTGGAACCAAAGACCTGAACTCTGAAACCTCAAGACTTCATGTGTCCCCTGAAGGCAGGACACAGGATCCCTAAAATGTCCTCACAGATGGCTGAACAGTCCTGTTAGCAGAACGTACTGTCCCCACAAGATGACTCTGTCCCCACACACAAAATATGTCTTCAGAAGATAAAGACAAGTACAAGACTCACTGAGGGACAGTAAGCAGAAGTGTCCTCACAACAAAGTGACCCAGTGAAACCGAACTGTCCTCATGTGGTCCTTTCTACAGCGAAGCCATTAAACAATAAATTTATTTATCTATTTATCTAAAAAAAAAAAATCAAACCAAGCAGAAAATGTTTCTGGGTTCCAAAACCTCCAACATCTATCAAGTGTCTGAAGACGAGGCTAAAAACATGAAACATGTTCTGATGCGTGCCAATAATCCAGGTAGAAAAATCTAAAAGTGAAGGACATCATCATCCATCCGGACTCTGTACCACAGAGCAGACAGCGTCCCCACTAACTCAGGAGCAGAAGGAGAAATCCCACACAAGACAGGCTCTAGAGCAATGTGGATATCCTAACTGGGCCTTCCTGAAAGCAGAGAAGAAACCCAAACAGGACTCCAGTCAGCCATCAGGTGAAAAGGAGGAACCCAGACCAGTGGTCATTCCATATGTTGAGGGAGTATCAGAGAAACTGAGACGTTTATTTTCTAAACATAACGTCCCAGTGGCTTTTAAACCCCAAAATACATTAAAGACTGGTTCATCCCAAAGATCCAGTCCCCCGGCACAAACAGAGTAATGTTGTGTATGTTGTTCAGTGTCAGGAGGGTGATCAGTCTTACGTCGCAGAAACTAAACAGCCACTGGCCAAAAGGATGGACCAGCACAGAAGATCAACATCATCAGACCAGGACTCTGAGGTCTACACTCATCTCCAGGCCAGAGGTCACTCTTTCAGGGATGAAGATGTTCACATCCTGGACAGAGAGGAACGATGGTTTGAGAGAGGAGTAAAGGAGGCCATCTTTGTGAAAAGAAACCGTCCATCATTAAACAGGGGTGGAGCCTCCAGGTTCAACTGTCCCCCTCTTACAATGCTGTGATTGCTAGTATCACTCAGCCCTCTGTGAACAGTAAACAGCCATCAGGTGCTAATGATCCATTGTTAGGCTGATGGTCCTTCTTGAGCATGTGATCAGCTGGTTTTGGTTGTCAGCAGCAAACTGGTTGATCCACTCTGAGAAGGTGCTATTTAAGAGAATGAGTTTTCTTGCAGGGTTTCAGACTGAAGAAATCTTTTGGATAAAAGACAAAACGTTTCAACAAAGAAGAATCCATCCAGGTGACATGACTTCAGCTTGTTAGATGAAACACATGCTTTGGTCAAACATGTCCACCCCCAGTCGAACACTGTCCTCCATTTATCAGATGCGCCAACCACCTCAGCTGGTTTTAAGATCTGTCCCTGCCCCTTCAAATGAGCTCAGATACTTCTCGGCCATTTAGCTGTAGTCCCTCATCTCAAGACCAAAGGTGAAGGTTGGACCTTAATAGAAGATCATGGATAGTGGGACAGGTCCATCAATACCTGATTGAGATCTGTCTACCAGTCCAGCTCTTGTCCTGAGGAACAGAGATCTTCCATCTGATGTTAGAGTCCCACAGAGACTGGTCAGCTTCAACTTGGACTCTACTGACAGAGTCTAGGAACTGACAAGTACCAGCAGGTAGACCCCTGGATGTCATTCAACGGTCTTCATGGGGCTTCTGGTCTAAAACTTTGAATTTCTGCCACAGTAAGTCTGGATTTGTAAAAAAAAAAAGGAACCACCTGACCTCCCAGCCTCCTGCAGGACATCTCAGGACCCTGAACAGAAGATCTGGACAGAGAATCCTGGACTAACATTGGACCAGTTCTATACTGTCTAGGTGAGACCAGATGGTTCCCTGAACTTTGCTCAACTAGCCTTTATGTATTGTGATGATCTTCATGGTGTCCTGCAGGAGGAATGACAGAATCCTTGCTCTGGGTCATTTTGGTGCAAGTTAGGGTCATTTCTGCTGGGGTTTTGGACTCCCCCAAGGCTTTGATCAGGTCTTTCTCACTGATTTTCGTCCTGGATCTCCTTAGTGTAGGTGGTTAGCTGTTCTCATTCTGTCAGCTTGGACCACTTCTGTTGCTTTTGAAGATGTGGCTTCATTGACTTAACTGAGATGAGATCTTCAGCAAATGGTGGTGGTGTCAGAACCAACCCCAGTGAGACCCAGAACCCTCAAATCAAAAACCAGAATCCTGAAACTGAAAGAATCACGTTTGGATTCATGCAGGACATCAGAATCCTGTTGAGCTAAATCAAAGACAATTACTTTTTTTTATTCCTGAAGATGATTTGTGCCCCAAGTGAGGAGATTTGGGGTCAAGATCCTGCTGATTCAGTAGGACTATGTCAAACCCTGAAGTCCAGATCTTGAATCAGTTTTAGTCACTGCAAAGTTTTAGTTCAGAAGGTCTAAATTAGAACAAAACCAGAGCTCCAATTCCCTGAATAAATCCAGAGAAAAGGTTTGTTGTGTTTTTAATGAGCTGAAGAAAAGAAATTAACAGGTAGTTATTAACATATAAACACGTTTATTAATATTTTACTACCTTTCCTTTTGGTTGAGACAAACTAAGAAAATGATGAAGGTGAGTATTTTAACTAGGCCAGGGCCCTCCATTCAAGCAATTTATGTCTTTTACATCTGTCTCCAGGTGTGCAGTCACTTACAGATATTACTCCAGGTGTTTGCCCAGGTGTGCAGTCACTTACAGGTGTTACTCCAGGTGTTTGTCCAGG